GTCTAGGCCCGAAACGTCAGCCTTCCTGCTCCTATGATGCTGCTTGGCCTGCTGTGTTCATCCAGCTCTACACCTTGTTATCTCAGATTCTCCAGCATCTGCAGTTCCTACTATCTCTGCCTATGTACGGATCTGTCTGAGTCTCCCCTCACTTACCTCTTTTCAACAAACTTTATTTTTGTGGCATCTTTAACAAACAAAATAAGATGGACGAAGATCCGTCAAAGGAGCATTATGAAATAAAAGTCACAATAGAAAATTTTGGGATGGATGCCCAAAATCTCGGTCAAAGTGATATTGTTTAAGGAATGTCCTAAAGAAGCAGAGAGGTCGAGAGGTTCAGGGAGAGAATTCTAAAACTTCGGGCTTAAGCAGCTAAAACATGCCTGCCATTCACACATTCTTGTTGTCTCTCAAATATTTATTTATCTCATTATACTTTCTATTTCTTAATTTTAATAGCACTTCAACCATCTTATGTCTTCCATTTATGCTCTTTACAGACTAGCAGGGCTTAAAGAGTAGAAAAGGGGTACGAGTTTTTATTGCCTAGTTACCTTGGAGAGTGTCAAAGCAAATTAATGTAGGAATTCACTGGTTTCTAAGTATCATGCTGTGATAGGTTTCTGATTGAGATTTTGAGTCTCGATCTGTTTTGTTCCCTCACTGCAGTGGTGATACACCTATTCATATCATCAACTCCTGCCATAGAGAGAGCAAGAACTAAAGTTAATGAAAGAAGGTATTAAAATTAACAGTAAGGCAAGTGGCCAGTAAATGCATGATAGAAGGATAATGCACCACTTCTTAAGCATTGCTCAGTTTTTCCAGTGCTTTGTTTAGTTGTAAGTTTCCACTAACTTTAGTCATCCTGTAAACTATGTTGAGGCTTGAATTTTCGTGTAGATTCATTATTATCTTCAAATAAGTGATATTAAAAACTGTCTTTGGTTCACTGTTGTAGCATAAATTAAATTCTGTTAATGAACTTTACCAAAAAGTAAGGAAAGTTGACATTTAGGTCTTTCTTCATCTGTCCAATGCCTACCCCAGAGGGTAGACCTGGAATTCTTGTATGTTCCTGCCTTTACTGGGCTGTACTGAAAGACTTTATTCATTGCCCAAAGCTTTGACTTCTTGAATTACCACACCCCAGGCTTACACTTGCAAGCTCTTCTGTTTTTCTTTCATTACCAGGATTCCCTGAGTGAGCAGCTCAGTAATTCAAAGGCCATTTTGGCTATTGAAGCCACAGCAGTCTGCAGACAGTGTTTCCAGTGGGACAAATATGCTGCTAATGGATGATTATGTCTCAAGTGTTCGATTTAGCAGAAGGCAGAAAATATTTCTAGTTGGTCTTTTAAAGAAAGTATGTTTTCCTCTCCTTTCTTAAAATCCTGTTTTCAGATGGTATTACATATTTGGTTGTACATTGCAATTTTTTTGAAATTCTTTCTGTTTGTTAAAATAGGATTTACACTGGCTACCTGAAGTTTTAAAAAGTGAATCTGTTCATTTGGTTTCTTTTCTATTGTGAGAGATTTCAGGAATGAGACAGTCATTGTATACCAGACTTGAGTACCTTTGAGACATAACAACAAATGCCTGCATATTAACCTCCATTTGGAAATTGGTAGTTCACCGATTCTGCTCCTTCAGCACAGATTGGCCGTGTCCTACTTGGCAAATACCTTTCTCTTAATCTCATGCTAAGTGCTGAGTAAACATTGGAAAGTTGCTGAATCGATACTGGCTCCAAAGCTAATATGTAGCCTTATTTGGGCATCTGTTTGTGTTGATTATTCATGGAGAAGCACACAACGGAAGTCACAAGTAAATGATATTTTATCTATCTGAATACATGAGACACGCTGGGAACTAGGATATATCAGTCCCATGAGTTAGATATTTTGAACAATCCTTCTTTTCAGGAAATGCTTTAATGACATTTCTTTGTGGCTGGAATATCACCAATTTCATTTGCGCTGAGTGTAAGTTCACACCCAAACAGTTGTTCAAATATGAATTTGGAAGGTGTGTTGTATATTTAAATTGAAAAATTATTAATTGCCTCCTGATTTAACCAGCTTTGAACAAAATGCTGCCTAATTCCTAGGCCAGCTGGATGGCATTCTATGTTCTAATTAGTATTCTGGCAGGCAGTACTGCAAAAATGTGTAATGTATAAAGATGCCAGCTTCTTAATCAGCTAATGATGATGGTTGTCCACATTTGTGCCTCTTACCAACAGTTTTTTAAAACTTAACTAATTTTGATGCCTGCTGCTAATGATCCAAGTGTCGTTAAGTTTGCTTGTTGTTACTCCATTCAGATGTTTAGAAAAAATATCCTTTAAAAGTGTAATTATTGTTTTAAGTTGAGTAAGTGAGCCAACATCAGAGTTGAGCTTGTTGACATGTCTGGAACAGTGGCTAACAATCTAAATGATTCTCTGACTTTTTGCTATATAATAATTTATGTCTTTTTCCAATATTACTTCAAGTCATAGTGGTTGGATTATTAGAACACGTTGACAAAATGCTGCTTATTGAATGAATGGTATTGTCATGTAAAGAGGAGCATACTGTTCTCACACTGCCAATTGGCAGGAACAAAATAAGCATAAACAATTTGTTTGAAGCTGGAATAAACATGGTGCTGAGGTTGCCTCAAATCTGATCTGTTTCCTCTTTCAATCAAAACTAGAACCTTGTCATTTCATATCCCTGCTTAATCACATATTATTTGACATTTTCTAATTTAAAACCTTCCCTAGAGAGTTAATTAAAGCAGCACTGTTGGTACTTGGCATTAGTATCCATTTAAAATAGGCAGCAAGTCTTTTGTCAGTTTGTTGCCAAGATTCGGGCTGGATTTCAGGCAGATAAATCAAGTTGTCTTTGCTTGGCTTCCACTTCCATGCAAAATCCTGTGCTACTGGCTACAGAGGCTGGGGGGCGTGAGCTTCATTCTTGTGGTTGTGGTCACTAATGTAGACTTCTTTTTCACAGACTGCTGAAAGGCTGTGGAGGGCAGGAGTCCTGTTAGTTCATTACATTCCCAACATAGAAATGCATCTCTCACATCCAGCCGGCTAACAGTGAGGTAAGTGCGTTGCTTTTTAAGTTTTTAACTACTGATTGCACTGAACAGGAAACATCTTAAAAGTGCAACAGCATGGTCTATAAATCCTTAGAGCTTGTTCGGCTGCAAACAGTTTAGTTAAACTTGGCAGCTTCTTTTTGCTTTGGGGGAAAAGAATGAAATTACTTAATGGAAAAGATTTGAAATATTTCTGTTTTTTTCATTTGTGATGTCATGCCACATTCTGGTGTCTTTGTGATAATGTTGAGATATCCCCATCATCTTCATCCTTCCTGCAGGTTTATAGTAGCAGAATTGTTTGTCCTTTTTTAACAGAAAAGGACAAAAAAGCTTTATTCAGCTGCTGCACAGTTCATCTTTAATATGACTGCTGTCATTTTCATTCAGCGTAGTGCATTTTCGTACTGCAATGAAGAACTTTCAATATATTCCATGTGCTAGCCAATATAGACTAAATATTAAACTCCTGATTGGCAAGGCTGCTGTGCATTAAGTACATCAAGATGGCATGATCATGGCATTCCAGATTGTAAATATCTACAGTGCTCCAGTTTTTTTGGTCTAGTCAGTAGAATGGTGGCTCTGCAGAGTTTAGTTTGTTCCTAGGTTTTTATTTCTCTTGATACTCTGACTGTAGGAGGAGATAATAAAGATCTCAATTCAGAGGTTGTTAATGCCCCATTAATAGTGATCAGAAATTTATCATTTTGGACTAATCAGTTTGTTTAAACTGGAAATTAAAATCAATCATGGTGTCCTCCATGGTGGATATTGTTGATTTTTGAAACAGTTTTGTTTGTGGTTCTTATTGACATTTCTTATTGACTATTAAATAGATGTGTTTATATTACTGAGCTACACAAGTTTCTGCTTAATTTCTCTTTGCCTTTTTGAGTTTGAATTTAAATTCTGAGCCCTTAAAAGAATAGGTGGTGACAGCTAAGGTATGATTGATTGACTTTGACTTTCTTATTTTTATAGGTAAGTATTTGCTTTGAGAAAAGGTATAACGCTAGACATGCCTGGTCAGATTTAGGGTTTATGTGCTAGTGTGCTCAATAAGAAATCCTTGGTCTAGATTAACATGCAGACTATACCTAGAGCTGTCCTGGCGTCTCTTCCAGAGTCGAACTGTTTAATTAGCTGAACTGAGAGCCTGTCATAACTAATTATTGCCTCTTCAATAGACTTCAAGATTCATTGTGTGCTGTGGTAAAGCAGACCTCACATTTTGTAATACTTTATAATACTCACACATTCCCATTAAATGTATATTATTCTCTTATTAGCAAACTATGTTGGAGTGGGAAAATCTGTATCCATTATGTTCCTTTCATCATCATCACAACTCCTTGAGGTGTTAAATGCGGGTGGAAGTCTATGACAATCAAGTTATGCAAATACACCAACCATTTAACATTTCTTCTGCAGTTAATTATTGTTACTGCCTCAAAGTGATTTATTTATTGAATTCATAGGCCAAGACTGAGACTCATCATGGCTGTTCTATAAATGTGTTGTTCCTGATGAATAGACTTTGAGTTGCAAATTGTTATCTGTTTAGAATGAACTTTGTGGAGTGAGAACCATACAATGCATAAAGACCAAGTGAGCCCTGTGTACTGTTAGTTTATTTACTGCGCAATGCTTTACTATAGCTCGAGCAGGCTGTAGCTTGTAAAGAAGTGCAAAATTGGGATTATTAGTGCCTGTTGATTAGCTACTTAAGGGGTGAGTTGCATCAAGTTGTGCATTCGTGCTGACAATGTACTAAATAGTTGTTTATGCATACAGAAGGGGTGCGCCATGATGCCAATCAACATTGCATGTAGATTGATGCCATTGTTGTCATTTTGGTACACAGTGCTTCAGGAAAAGGATTCTCTTAACTTCATATAGTTGAACAGAAATTTGACAACTGAAAAGAACCCCTGTTCATCCGCCACTGTGGGTTTTCCGTAAGCCATTGTTTCTTAAATAGTTACTGTTGGAGACCGTATTGTGTTGATGTCATACAGTCTTTGATGGGGAAATTGGAAGATGAGCTCTGGATTGTGAACATAAGAAAAAGGAGCAGAGTAGGTCATTCAGTTCCTCAAGCCTGCCTAACATTACACAAAGTCCTGGATGATCTGCCCAGGCGTCAACTCTTCTTTCATCTCAGCTCATCATAACCCTCAACTTCTCAATATTTCAAAAATCAATCTACTTTCTATTTAGATACTTTCAGTGATCTAACCTCTACAACTCCCTGGAGTAAAGAATTCTCGATGCTCAGTACACTGAAATGCCCAGCTAACACCTACCTGTTTTTTCCCGTGATTCACACTTCAAATCTGATAGTTAGAAATAGGTTGAAGGGGTTGTCTGCCATTGTTTTCTTTTTATCTCCAACTGTCACTGCCTTTTCACTCAGATCTGGTTTCCCAGTTTACATCCTATAAACTCCTCCTAGACTGCTTCACAGCAACGTTGAACTACTGCACATTCCTCTCGGTTTCCCAATGAGGAGGACAGTTTTGTCATCTGTGTCTCCTAATAGCTCTGGCAATGATGCCTAACTAGTTAATGTAACTTGTACCTAGTTGTTAAATAAACTATATCCTGTTCAGAAAGAGCATCCTTGTGCTACTACTCACTAGTGATAATTCCTCTGCCAATGTAAACCAAATAGGCCCTTAAACTCAGCCAAAGAAAGAAGATTTGTGGCAGCATCCTTCTATCCACAAATATCACAAGGTGATCAGTGGTGGCTGTTGTTTCTTTAAGCAAGGTACAAAGATAAAAAAATATGCATTGGACTCAGGAGAAAAAAAGTTCCAGAAAACCAAATGAATTTACAGCTTTAAAGACTTCACTACTTTAACAATTATTCACACAGTCAGTAGCTGCAAGTACTTGAACAAATAAGCAGTCAGCAGGAACTCTGGGAAAGACCAACAAGGGAGATACAGAACTCCCAAGCAAAAGAATTTACTTCAGACCTGCACAGTAAAAGCAGTGTGGCCTAGAGAAAGCTTAGACTAGTCAGACATGGCAGTTACAGATTTCATTAGGAAACAAACATCTTTAGGAGCATTCCCAGGTTGAGGTTTGGCTAGGAAGCATATGCATCGAAGTACCACGAGTAAAGTTAAAAATCCTTGTTGGGCAAGAGGAAATACTTTGATCTCACAAAAAAGGATATACATTGTGTATTAGGCCATGAAAGGTAGAAAACATCTATTTTGCCCAGGGAAAAATAGAAAACCTCCATTTTGTCTGCAGAAGTCAGAAGACCACCATTTTGATCACAAAACACCCAGTAAACAGTAAAGCCATGCAGTTAGTTCTGCTGCAACGTAATAGTTGTGTTCCTGTGCAACATTGCTTTATAGAAAATCGCACTATAGAAATAGTGGGGCCTACAGAAAAAGTGGTATAGGAGCAGTCCACCAAAACAACACTCAAAATCGCTCAAAAATCACCCAAAAGCCTAACACAAAGGATAGCACAATTTGAATAAATGTTTAATTCATATCTTATGTTGAAATAAAAGTAAATTTAATACTTTACCTTGAAAAATGTCAAGGTGACTCGATGGGGGAAGAGGTTGTACAGTATCTCTCACAGAAAGCACTTCACCACAAAGCCTGCAAAATGATCACGCGATGCTGGCACGGAGACTCTTTCAGTGCTGACATTATAAATATTCATGACAAAGCCTATGAAACGATCATGTGATGTTGATGCACACTCCTCCACGCACCGATAAAATCGCGTTATAGCCAACACAAGTTTGCGTTTTAGAAATAATGTTCCCCAATTTGCATTGATGGAACACCCGCTATAACAAAACTGACTGTATAGCATATCAATGTAACAGAATTGAAAGCATTGAATAAAGGAAAATAATTAGCTATACTGCACAGTTTAAAAACTGCAAAGGCAGGAAAATATAACAGTATTTTTGTTTACAAAAATAAAAATTTTCAACAAATATGATGTTGCAGAATTTAAAAGCTGTAAATTAAGAAGAGCAAATAATCACATTGGAAGACATGGCAGGGGAAACAATACTACGAACAATATTTAATAACAGAAATGGTACAAGTAGGAAACAGGATTGGACATCTGGGAAAAAACAATTCTTAAGATATGGAGATGCTTTCTCCAAAGTCAAATTTTCTTTGGATTGGAAAGGTATTCAGATTTTCTTGAAAGCAGTAATCAGGAACATTCACAGACAAATCCTGAGGTGAATGTCAACCTTATCATGGGAGAACAACAGAAACTACCTACTTTATAAGGTATGAATACTCCAAAGAAACACATTATAAACCAACAAAAAGTGGGGCAAATTGTAGATCTAAGCCTCTCATGTATAGGCAGTGCCCAACTATTGCAAAAGAATGCTCCACCTGTAAAACTACTGGTCACTTTCAGAGGATGGAAAGTAGTAAAATATGGTTTCAGAGCAGCAAAGAGTCAACTGCCTAATCATAAATCGGTGATAATGAGATAGAAACACCAGTGTCAGAAAAGATACCAAGTGCATTCCTAGGGTAAATTTGTGATCCACATGACTCAAGTGTGACAACCCATTTACATCAATGGATATCTCATTCATTTGAAGCATTATACAGGAGCCAATGTCACTGTCTTATCAGTTTAAATATCATGGCAAAAGAACAAAGGTTACAGCAGCAGAGATAAAGTTATATGATCCAGGTAGCGTAAGGCTTTAGTCTCAAGATGAATAGTATTTTACAAACACTCTGTAGCACAGAGTGTAAAAGAATTGAGAATATATATATAGGAACAGGAGTAGGCTGTTCAGCCCCTCGAGCCCTAACTACCTTTCAACAAGATCATGGCTGACCTGTGGCCTAACTACAAATAGCCGCTTCTAGTCCATATCCGTTAATATCGTTGCTTAACAAAAACTTATCTATCTCAGATTTGAAACTAAAAATGGATCTAGCATCATCTGCCATTTGTGAAAGAGAGTTCCAAATTTC